GCAGAGTCCTTACACTTCCCAGGAGCCTCCTTGGGTACCTATCTTCAACACCCCACCTGTACATCTCACCAAACACGAGAAAGGCCAGCCAAGACAGAGCAAAGACAAGCAGCTACAGGAAAACTGCACCTAGAGTCAAAGACCTAAAACCCCTGGCCCATAATGGAAAAGACTCTCAAGCAGAAGAGGCTGGCTGAACCAGACCAACAGAATCTTTTTTTCTCTAGTCTGAAAAGCAAGGTCAGGTCCAAAGTCTCCGTATAATGTTACTGCCCTCAGGATAAAGCCTTGGCCATGGTAACATAAGGTATTTTCAATCTAGCCCCTGCCTACCTCATACGCTGTGTCCACATCTTTTTATACCTTATTCCTTTTGCCTGGAACATCTGCTTCTCCCTACATTCACCTGAAACCCTTAACTCATCCTCCTAGATTCTGCAGCATCTCTCTCCCGTGAAGCCTTAGATACAGGAGGAAGTCCATCCTCTGGACCGCCTCTGGGCCTGGCCCACACCGTGGATTTTCCCTTCCTACACCACTCTCAGAAGTCATTTGCACAGACACATTTCTCCTCTCTAGATTGATCTTCGCATGGCAGGGGCTTAGACCTGTGTTCCTGGAGCCCGGGCCTGGCATCAGGTCAAAGCAATGGGTGCTGCATCCCAGTGCATGGAATTAATGAATGAGTCCTCTGATGCCTGGCCAAAGGAACGCAGTTGCAGGTGAGAGCAAAGGGCAGGCTGGCTGTGACCTGACAGTCCCCTCCAGCACCACCCTGCCCCACTACTCCATCGAGTGCTCCAGCCCAGGCTTGCTGTTCTTGGGTAGAGCCACCCATCACATGAGAGGAGGCCTCTGCTGCTGGGATGATGTTACAGTCTATTTTGAGGGTCACACTGGAGCATATGTCAGCCCGGCCAGCCACACCCTCTATGCGTCATCACTAAGAGCCAGGGACACCCACAGGTCCATGAGCTCTGCCCAAGGAAGTCACTCCTCCCACAAAGTCTTGGGTTCAGGGCCTCTTCAGCTTCCTGGACAGATCACCCTGGATGCTCCCTATCTGCTGGCACCACTGACAGACAGACTCTGATGTCTCCCTACCCCACCAGACCTGCTCCCCGGGGTTCAAAGCTCTAGTGACTCGGCAAAATGCAGCTGAAACCCATCAGTCTGCACTGAGCTCTTGGCTCAAACACAGTCCCTCCTCCTCAGCTTTCGGTTATATTTTCGGAGGGCCCAGAAAGCTCAGCCCTGACAAGCTAGACACTGACCAGAGTCATTACAGGTCCACACAGGTCACCTACTGGGAAACTCCCATCAACCCTCACATCCCTGCCAGGCTCTGCCTTCTCTCACAGGGAGCCTTTCAGTCCATCCTCTGCTGGGGTGGCCCACAGGCTCCCTGAGGACAGGCCTGCTGGTGCTAGCTTTATCTCTGTCCTCCCTGTACCCAGCATAGGGTCTGGCACACAATCTAGGTATCAATAAATATTCTAAAATGAAACCTTTCTGATAAGACTAGTTTAGTGTATTCTCCTACAAAAGACATTGTCAGAACAAAGGCCATTCTGAAGAACAGCAACACTGACAAATGGGCTCATAAATAAATACCCTTTACAAACAAGGCCCATATTCAAATCTACAAAAAGACAAGTTTCAGTTCAATGGGACAGTAAGTCAATCAAAGTCAGCCATGCTTCTCTGGCACTAAGTACCTTTCAGCTCTGTCCCCTAACACTGTGGTCCCCTAAGAACCCAAATGGACATTCCTTCATTCTAGGGAAGGGTGCAAAGGCACCCATGATGGGGAGCAGGTAGCAGTAACATGGATGCTGTCTGGGCTCGAGTGAGCGCATCTGACAAGGCAGGCTGTTTCACGGCACATTCTACACCCTGTGCCCACGGGACGCACCAAACACCCCAGGACCTCAGGGCTCAACCACCAAACTTGTATGTCATCGTCTGCTCCAGTCACTTCCCAGAGATGCCGTGAGGCTCAAACTAGACAGCACAGGAAAGTTGCATAACCAATTAACTTGGGTCATAGACTAAAGCAGGATCAGAAATGCATCTCCAACACAGACAGGAAAAGGGAATGTCTGTCCTGGAACTGCCCTTGGCCTCCTCGAAACTGCACCTGGCTACATCTCAGCCATGAGAAGGCTTTTAGGAGCTCCCTAAAGAAGCTGCGAGGGGACATTCATACTCTGGCCATCTGATAGCAGTCTACTGAAGCTGCCACCACAGGTACTAATGACAGGTAACCTTTTTAAAGCTGGGGTTGCCAGGACAGCTTAACACTCTATTAACACAAAAATGCTGAGACTAGAAGCTGGGACTCCTGGTGAGCCCGTGTGTGTGTGTGTGTGTGTGTGTGTGAGAGAGAGAGAGAGAGAGAGATAGAGCGCGCGCAGAACTGTGCTCCATAAGGTTTCAAGGCTGTGACCTTTTGGAAGCAGATCACCAGGCCTCTTTCAAGGTGCCTCTACGTGGGTTTGAACCATCAACCTTTACGTTAATATCCAAAGCACATGTGGGGTCACCATGAGTTAGAATCAATTCAACAGCCACTGGTCAGAAGCTGGGAGAAGATGCCCAACTTTCTTTAGACTTACAAGCAACACCTACAGGAAGGCAATCTGACAAAACACATTTCCCAGTAAAAAGCAGGAGCTCTGGTAGCATAGTGCCTAAGGCACTTGACTGCTAACCAGAAGGCTGGCAGTTCAAACCCACCAGCCACTCCTCAGAAGGCAAGTTGGGCAATCTACTTCTGTGATGATACCGCCTCGCCTCGGAAACCCAAGGAGGGGTCACTATGAGTCGGGTCTGACTTGATGGCACATAACAACAACAGTAAGAAGCACTTAAAACTGAAATGTTAAGTCAGTTAAAGAAGCTTCCATTTTTCTAGGTTTGAACACACCCCTTTGGAAAATTTACAGGACTAGACAGAAAACAAGGAGCCCTAGTAGCACAGTGGTTAAAGCACTGGGCTTCTAATCAAACCCACCAACTGCTCCATGGGAGAAAGACATGACAGCCTGCTTCCGTAAAGATTACAGCCTTGGAAACCCTGTGGGTCAGCTCTATTCTGTCCTATAGGGTCACTATGAGTTGGAATCAATTTGACAGCAATGGGTTTTGGTTTTGGTTAGAGACAAAACAATCCTTTTCTCTCCTTACAAGTTTAAATAATGCCTCTCAGTGTCTTTGGCAATACGGAACTCCAGCACCAACCAACACTCAGTCTACACGGTAACCATTTCTGGGGGTGTTTGTTTTAAAAGGTCATTCTCAATCATATTATTTAGTTCAAGCACATTAAATATATGTGTGTTTTTATCAGATGGTAGAAAGGGAAAATGGAAGCTTTAAGCCCTTCAATAACATAAATTTCATCTGGTGGCACAATGGCTCAATGGTTAAACACTCAGTTAAGCTGCTAACAGAAAGTTTGGCAGTTAGAACCCATCCAGCAGCCCCACAAGAGAAAGACCTGGCTCCCATACATCTTTATGTACTCCCATAAAGATTACAGCCTAGAAAACTCTACAGGGCAGTTCTGGTCCATTACATGGGATCTCTACGAGTTGAAATCAACTGGATGGCACCCAACAACAACGTCTGGAAAGGTACTAGATGGTGGAGAAAAGTGAAAGATGCAATAGCTTCCCATGATCAGAATTTCAGAATCAGAGAACTCCGGGTTAAAAGGTAGTTTAGATGTTGGCCTACTTTCCCACAACACAAACAAGGAGACTGAAGCCCCAAGACCTATCCAAAGCCACACAGCCCTCCCAGGCCGGAAAATGATGGCATCACTGTGCGGAAGCAGGCAAGGTTCTGACTCGGCCAGTCCTGCCCCCAGCACAGTCCGTAGCTGGGATTTTTGCATGCACCACGAGGGGGACAGTCCCGAGGAGAGAGGAAGTGCTCTGAATGCTCAAGAACACACATTCAGGGTTGGCACAAAGGTCACTGGTGGGGACAGCAAACTTCCCGCACTAGAGCTAAGGTCTAATGAGAAAAGCCTTTCCCAGGCAGCTGCAATTGTGTTATTTCACAACTTATAACACCTGCTTTGTCATAATCACTGGAAAAAGGAGAGAGCGGGAGAAGAAAAATGAAAACTATTCTTCCAGTGTTCCCTCTCTGTTTCCAAACCCACCGCCATCAAGTCGATTCCGACTCACAGCGACCCTAAAGAATAAAGTAGAACTGCCCATAAGGTTTCCAAGGCTGTGAATCTTTACAGAAGCAAGCTGCCCTATCCTTCTCCCAAGGAGTGACTGGTGGCTTAGAACTGTCAACCATTCAGTTAGCATGTGAGCACTTAACCACTGTGCCACGAGGGCTCCTGTGTGTCTGCTTAGGTCACCCTAAAATAGGGAGTCTCCCTTATGCTGACTTTAATGAGGACCTTGCTAAAGCTGGTCCATCTGGTGTTCAAGTGTCTGCATGAAAAACAAGTTTCTCAGCAATAAGGTCACCTGATTGTGACCATGTGTGTGCTGTTTATACTGAGAGGACAGGCCAGAGGCTGCCATAGCTGTGACGGATGCTGCAAGCACTCTACTACCTTTGTGAAGTGTACTAGGGCTCCATATGACTAATTGCCATAAAAAATAACCTTGAATATGGCTAGGGTGGGAAAGGAGGGAAGTCACAGACACCATACTCTAGTCGAGGAAACCCCATTCTGGTCACTGAATTGTTAATGTAAACTTGCTACCTGTGAGGTATCTCATTACATCATCACTAAAAAGAAGTTCCCTCTCCATCCCCAATCCACCTGCTGACCGCATAGACCAGGCCATGCCCTCAGTCAGGAAACAGAGGCAGCCCACCATTCAACCCTCGGCAGCCCAGACCCATGACTACACAGATAGTCGACTGTAGTTCAGCAGCTCACGTTAGCTACAAATGATGGCTACTCACTCTGAGCACAGGCAACAGGTCAATGCAGGGCACAAGAATGGCAATGAGGGGCTTACCCATCTCTTCCCTTGCTTACAATCTTCACCTCAAAGTAATAAATGCCACAGGCAGCAGGTATAGGATGGGTGGCACGCACTGAGGCCGCATCCTTGTGATTTTTGCCATGACCTAAGAGGAAAGAACAAGGAAGAAAACTCAGAAGAAGGAAAGGCAAATGGAAGCCTCCTTCTTCCATGCTCCATGACAACTTCAGCAAAGTCTCAGCCCTCGGTGGCCAAGGAATCCTTCACACCAAGGGATAATTAGATAACAGCTGAGCAACCATGTAAACCTCCCACTTTTGGTTCATCTCCTCCTAAGAATAAGCACCATCTCCCTTACTGACAACAATAAGGGTACAAGAAGCGTAGGTGCATGTGAAAGATTCCCCAGGGCTGATGGTGGTCTCTCCAGAATACAGACATCCCACCTACAAGACCAGTGGGAAGAGGCTGTAGCCCTGAAAGACCATCACTTACAAGTAAGCACAGAATCCCAGGTCCAATCTGGTAGGAAGGCAAGTGCACTGGCCTCTGACTAATTGTGGGTACACTCCTGAAACTAGAAAGTGGTGAAAGACCCAGCTGGAGACAGAAACAGCCCACAAGCAGGGTCGCCCTCGGGTAGATGGTCCAGCTCAGCACTGGGTCTGGACACCTGCTGCAGTTCTCTGGACCTCGGGTTTCTCAGAACAGAGCAGAGCAGGCAGTCAACTCTCGGCCTGCTCAGCCCGACCACTCTGGACACCCCGCAGCTACGGCCCAACCCGGAGCACCCGGGCCGGGAAAAGGACGTAATGGGACAGGGGCCGCACAGCACAAATGTCCCGTAGACGCTTCAGCCTTTTCCTCCCGCAGCCAGAGTGACCGATACCTTTGTAGTGGACACGGAGGTTGCCCTGGGAGAGGCCGATGTAGTTGTACTTGTCCTTGGGGCTCCAGGAGCGCGGCAGCGGCGTCTCATGCTGGTTAACCGCGGGGTACAGGCGCTGCAAGCGCCGACTCAGCTCCTGCTCCCCCGGGGACGGCAGCCCGCCCCCTGTGCCCCCGCCGGAGGAGTCTCCAGCCTGCGGGTTCCCAGCTCCCGGGTCCACCGTCGCTGCCGCCATCTTGGAAGGAGCTGCTATTGTGTCACTGGGGGCGGGGAGGAACGGGACCAGATCCGCCCCTCTCAGCCAATAGCCAGAGAGCCTGCCGGGGCCGCAGGGAAACCGAGTCTGAGTCCGGCACCTCTCTTTGGACACGGACAGGCCCTGCCACATTTCGGACTTCATGTCCCACAATCCAGAGCTCTCCAGGGACCGCCCAAGTCAGGCTGCTTTGGAACTTTGGGAGATGTAGTTTAAATCCACCCAGCTATTATTTCTGTCCAACCGAGTCTTCAGTACACCGAAAACTACAATTCCCTCTAGCGAATTGGCCCCACCCTCTCAGTTCACCTCCCTCCCCCATGGCTGTTGTTGATCTCCGTGCCTCAGAGGTGGTCTTTATGGTCAAATTCGCTTCAGTGACAAACTCCTCAGAGTTGCTCCCGGACCCAAGTCCACCTTTGCTACATGGCCTGCCTTCCAGCCTACTGACTCCGGCTCGAGGGCGCGCGCAGTCCTGACTCCGCCCTCACAGCTGGGCCGCTGCGGCCTGGTCGCCATGGCGACAGGCTGTACACTACGGCTGCTTCCCAGGCCTCTGGTGCTGGCTGCCGTACCGCCGGAGTGTCATGGCCTCCCCGCAGCCTCAGTACCCCAGCTTTTCGTCCCCACCAAGGTAGGCGCCTGCCGGGCCGAGGGCGGAGAAGAGAACTTGAATACTTCTGGAGGGGGAAGGGGCATCTGTCCCGACATTTGCACAGCTTGCTCGCCTCTGTCCAGTGGCCTGGGGCTCTAGTCCCACAGGAGCAGTGTTGCAAAAACAGAATCTGGGCTGACTTGTCAGCCCAGTGAGGACCTTACGTGCTAGCAAGGGGACAGTGGCAATTTATCCTTAGTCATTACAGCCATCTTGTGTTGAGCACAGATAATGTGCTAAGAGCTTTCTGTACCACATTTAACCCTCACGACAAGCCTATGAGATGGTTGTTGTTGTTGTTATGTGCCCTCGAGTCGGACCCGACTCATAGCGACCCCTCCTTGGGTTTCCGAGGCAGTATCACTGAGGAAGTAGATTGCCGTATCTTCCTTCCCACGAGTGGCTGGTGGGTTTGAACCACCAGCCTTCTGGTTAGCAGTCAAGTGCCTTAGGCACTATGCTAACAGAGCTCCTTACCATTTTTACAAACGGAGAAATAGAAGCCCGTAGAGATAAGTAGTGGAGCTAAGGTTTGAACTGAGCTCTGTTAGACTCCAGAATCTGAGCTCTTTAGCCACAGAGATAAACTACCTCTTCACTCACTGGAAGACTCATGTCCAAGTGCTGGCTGGCCCAGGTGCCTCCCAGGGCCACTCGGGTAGCTCCTGCCTGAACTCAGGGGTGCAGCCTCTATGCACTGCAAACAAGCTCCATTGGCCAGGAAAATCACAGAGAACATGAATTAGAACAAAAATGTTGACCGAGTACCTTTCTAGTTTTGGGACTGCACAGAAGGCCCTTAATGTTTCAGGCCTACTAAATCTAAAACATGGAGGCCACACAGCCCACCTCACAACTTTGTTGGGAACATTTATGCAGAATGTGAGAAACTCTCGTCACACTCTTGCACATCATTGCACTCATTCCCAGTACAAAAATCCTGATCTCACCTAAACTCTAGCTCTTCAGGGTCTTCTGCCTTGACAGAGAATGTCTACAAAGGTCCCTGAGAACAGGGAGGTATTTTATCCAGAGTTAAAATAAATCTACAAGAGCCAGGCAGCAGTCTTGAGAAAAAGTGTTGTTGCCACCACAGGAATGATTTAGGAAACTGTAGTTATGTCTAGAAGAGATTTGAAACCGACTCAGAAAAAATCCCTCAGAGTGTACCAGAGTCATGTATATGAAACCGTCATCACAGCCACAGCTATACACTGTGAAGAGAAGTATAGGCCCGCAGGGTTCTCTGGGCTCATGGTGGAGGTGTCCTGCTACCGCAGGAGTTGGTAATACTCTGGTGATGAGGAGATTTCTGGCAAAGTAGGAAAGTGGTTTGAGCCCAGAGCCAGGCACTTGTTTGCCAGCATCTCTGGGAATCTGAAGGCAGTGCTAGAAGACACAGAGTCTGGCTCTATGGGGGAAAAGAGGCCATTTCTCGTGGATCCAGAAGATGGGCGCTTTTCCCGCTCACAGCTCTCAGCCACCACAGCCTTCCGCTTGTCTGTGCAGATCAAACCAGCAGCCTTCAGGAGTGGCCATAGATGACTCCATTGCCCAGGAGGCCGAGAGCATCCAGAAACGCAAGCTTTCTCAGAAACGAAGGACGCTGGTGAGTGGTAATGTGCTGTTGGAACCCCAGATGACAGCCACTGGACCCTGTCTGCAGTACAAAAGCACCACGCACCTGAAAAATACCCACCAGGGCCGCCTTGCCCTGGTCAAGGAGTGTGGCTTACAGAGGCCAAGCCACCAGGCTCTGGTGTGTGTGTGAACACTGGCCCCACCTCCTCCAGAAAACCCTCCCAGACCTCTCCAGGCAGAGAATCAGCCCCCTGCCCACAAGCACCTTGCCCCTGCAGCTCAACATTCTGGTGTGTACCCCATTTCTTCATCCAGCCTGCCAGGTACCAGGCACTATGCTAGGCACTGAGATGTTCACACCAGATCTTCCAAAGACTTCAGGGCTGAGACTAGCATTTTGCCTTTGTGCCTCCAGTGCCTGATAGGGTCCTTGAGTGGCTGACAGAGATTGAGAACTTGCATGTGGCTGTGTGAAGACAGGGCTAAAGGGCTGCTTCCCTGTCACGTTGTGGGCACTGCCTCAAGAATAGCCACTAGTAAAGCCTCAGGAAAAAGTCCTTCCTCCATTCCTGTTCCTTAAAATTTTTATATAAAAATGATTACTTGATCTTTTGTTGATTCTTATTATTTAGTCAGCAAACAGCCAATGTCTAAATCTCACAGAAACAAACAAACAACAACAACAACAACAAAAAACACTGAGCAAATTTTTAACTTCAGCTCACGGTGGAGCACCATGGTGGAGCACCGTGGGCTGTGTGGTGGTTTTCCTTGTGTGAGTGTGTCCTCTGTGGAGGATTTGGGGAGTCTTCACGAAGACTTGGGGCAAGGGCTGACCCTTCCCCACCCACCTCAGGTGCCATCTGCCGGTTAACCTATGGCCCGTCTTTTCCTTCTTTCTTCTACACCGCAAAAGGGACGCGTCCTCGACCTCCAGAGGGCACTGTTCCCTCAGGGCCGCCCTTCCCGTGTTCACCGGCAGGAGGCAGCAGAGAGCATCGAGTGCCCTGTAGCACTGGGCTGCATCCTCTCGCCAGCTGAGCTCTTCACTAGCTCTTAACAACCAGGCCAGCAACCAGCACTAACTACCGGTTCTCTGCCTTTTCTCTCGCCTCCGCGATCAAAGTAGGGCAACCATGTAACAAAAACGGCAGACAGAACACAAGGGTTGGCTTTTTGACACTGAAAAACATCATTAATTCACCAGGGTTAGATGTTTCTTTAATAGTTTCCCAGACGCCTTCAGTGGTAAGTTACTTTTATAACAATCACATCAATTTTGAGTCTTTCAAAAAACTTTTCTAGTTTGATTTTTAAATTTGATACCTTTCATATTTCCAGTTTGTTGATCCTCTTAATTGCTGTTTATTATTTTCAAGTTTTCCTTTAGATTGACTATTCCTTTTCTTTTCCAGCAACCAGGGTACAGCAGCTGAATTCTTTCTTTCTCGATAATGAAAGCACTTTAAACAATTAAAGTCAATGCTCTGTAAGTGCTACTCAGGCCACATCCCAAACATTTTGAACATGTAACTTGAACATTATTTCTATACCAAAACAAAACCAAACCCACTGCTGTGGAGTCGAATCTGACTCAGCAACCCCTCCATGGGTTTCCGAGGTAGTATCACTACAGAAGTAGCTTGTCCAACCTTCCTTCTGAGGAGTGGCTAGTGGGTTTGAACCGCCAGCCTTCTGTTTAGCAGTCAAATGCCTGAGGCACTATACCACCAGAGATCTCTTATTTCTATACAAGTTGTATTTTAAGTAATTAGTGGGTCAGAGGATAATATGAAATAACTTTTCAGCAAATTCAAGACAGTTTCTGGTTCAAAAATACCTTATGTGTGACCTTTAATAGTTTTTGGCATATGTTAAAAGAAGGTTCTTTTGGAATCCTGATCGAAAGGGGGAAATAGAGGACAGAATTGAAAATTCTCATGGAATTCAGACTTTCTGGAGAGCTGGAGATTAGAAGAATGCCAAAAATTATTTCCCTGAGATAATATTTAAACTTTAAACTAAAAGTATCCCCTGAAGTTTTCTTAAAACCAAATAATAGTTTAACTAGTAACCAATGCCTGCCTTGACCATCATGCTCTCTTAAGATCTACATATGAGATCAAATAGAAAACAACTTGAAAGCTTCGATAGGAACCTTAGGGGGCAGTGAGTTTATGTTAGCAGGGAGGGAACAGCTAGGAAAAGAAGGATGAGAGTGGTTGTACAACTGCAAGGCTGTGAGCAACGTCACTGGGTCGTTAAGTGTAGAAACTGTTGAACGTGTACATTCTGCTGGGTGTATTCTCAACAACCACAACAATAAATTACAAAAAATATTGTTCTTTATTTCTGCTTAGTACATTTTATAAATCTACTGCTGTGTCATCAATTGTATCACTTGGGAGGTTAGTAGTATCTTTTACCTTCCTTTGCTTGGTAATAGCTAATTCTGATAGGTAGGCTTTAAGCTCTTTCATACACTGATGTTTCATATTCTCTTTTTGTTTTCCTTTTATATTTTTTCCTCATGTTTTTATTTATCCCTGGGTGTTACAAATGGTTAACGCACTCAGCTGCTGTAACTGAAAGGTTGGGGGTTCAAGTCTCCCCAGAGGGACCTTGAAAGAAAGTCCTGGCAATCTACTTGTGGAAAAACCAGCCATTGAACACTCTGTGAAGCACGATTCTCCTCCGACACACAGAGAGAGGGTCACTGTGAGTTCGAGTCAAATCAATGACAACTGGTCCTTTATTTTATTTATTATGTGCCAGGCATTGGGGATACAGTGGTAAGCAAGAGAAATATAACCTGTCAATGAGAGAAGGACCTTAACTGTGGAACTACAGTGACAAAATGTGTTAATACCTTACGTATGACCTATAATTAGTTTTTTGTATTTGTTAAATAAAGAGTTCTTCTTGAATCCTGATTTTAAAGGGGGGATACAGACAGGATTTCTGTTATGGTGATGGAGAGGTGAAGAGGGTGGCATCCAGCCTGGTAAGGGCATTGGGAAGAACACCTGAGATCTTAGGTGTGACTAGTGAGATTAGGGAATTCTTTTTTTTTTTTTTTTTTTG